GGAGGGGATAGCGGGCGGGCGGGTTCCAGGATGCTCTGGAAGCCGGCAGAGGGGTCTTGGTGAGCGCTGGAGCGGGACAGTGGGGGCCTCTCGCTTGCCTGCTGTGCAGAGGGTGGCAGGTCTGAGGGAGGGGCAGGGAGTGGGCAGGCGAGGACAGCTCTCTTTTGCGGAAGGAGGAGTTAGTGAGGCTCAGGCTGGCGTAAGGGCACCTTGGAGTTGCGGGGGGACAGCCTGGGCCAGAACACACCCCGGAGAGCAGAGCCACCGCCAAGGAGGACCACTCCTGAGGGCTGCCCAGGAATGGTGCGGGGACTGACTAATGGACACACCCCTCCTTTACCTGCAGGCCATGCTGCACACAGACACAGACTTGACACAGACACAAAGTCACAGATGAGATGACACACTCACATGAACGCACAGACACAGATCTACTTGGACATGTCCCATGCACTCAGAGACAGACACGCACACTCACATGTGTGCACCCATGTGGGCCCACGTGCCAGGACAGGACAGACACGGCAGGACACAGATGCACAGATGCACACGTGCGCACACCAGAGTGCAGCATCCTAAGCTCGCTGGCATGCACATGGCCGGCAGGGCCCTGGTGAGCCTGCCACCGGATGACTCAGGCTCGGCGGTTCCCGTTAGCCGGGCTGCAGCCGGGCAGCCTTCCAGCGACAGGTCAGATCACTGCCTGGAAGAGGCCCTGGCAGCCTCCCGCGTCTCGAGCCCATGGCATGATGAAGCATAGCCCTGGCCTTCAGGTGGGGCCCTGGGGCGTGGGTCTCATGCCTCCTGCACTGCCGTGTTTTCTCAGGCCGGACAGCAAGCCTGGGGCCGGAGACCCTGCTTTTGCCTCGCTCCCTGGAGACCGGCTTTGCTCAGCCCGCCTGGGAGCCGGTCGCTTATGGACACTGGGGGCCACCGGGTCGGGGAGCTGTCTGTATCCCTGGGTGTGCCCGGCATCTGCGCAGGTCTGTCAGGGAGCTTGGCCTGCCAGCCCCGTGACCCCTGCCCCGTTAGGCATGGGACCTCGGTGAAGCTGTGTGGACCTGGGCCCATCCAAATGCAGTGTGACACCGTGACATGTCTTTGTTGTCCAGTACCATGCACAGAGGGTCGAGGGAAAGTGGAGCCCTGGGCGGATGGCCTGGGGGCCGCCTCCCTACACAGAGGCCAGGGGAAGGGGTCCCGCATGACTGCTGAGGGAGAAGCTGAGCCACACACTGCTGGTCCCTGAGCAGCTGGGTGGTCCCTGGGACCCCTGGCCAGCCAGGGCCTGGGGGAGGCTGCAGCAGGGACCCTCCCTGGGGCCACTTCTGCCCTTGGCCTTGGCGAGGCCTGGACGGCCTTACGCTGTCCTGCTGGAGCCTTGCTCACCTTGCAGCTGGGAGCTGACGCAGCACTGGCCAGGCCCAAGTGGTGAGGGGGCAGGGACCCTCACCCAGGGGCTGCCCCTATTCCTCTCTTGCCAGCTCTGACACAGAAGGCTAGTGTCACCTGCTGCGCTTGTCCCCACGTGCCCCTTTGGAGGCCCCGGCCCCGTGGGAAGTGTACCCACAGAGGGTGGGCTGCAGCGTGCTGAGGGAAACTGCCTAGAGTTGGCCCTCGCCCCCCAAGGCCAGCCAGACTGGGTCCTGCCTCATTCCGCCCATCTCCTCTCCCTCCCCATTCCTCCGCCCACTTGCAGGGGACTCGGAAGCCCCAGCCTGGCCCCGAGACCACAGGACCAGACAGGGGAGACAAGGCCAGCCCGCCTGGGACCTAAGAAGCCCATCTGTGCCACCGCTGCCTGTCCCTACCCCCATCCGAAGCCTGGCCGTCAGTCTGCTGCAGAGCTCTGTGCTGCCAGGAGCCTCTGTCCTCACGCCCAGCCCCATCTGATGTCCCCCTCTGGGGACAGGTACCCCACTGTGGAAGGCCACGGCAGGTGGGGATGGCTCAGGAACTGCTGCCCCCTCAAGGCATGGAGACGGGGCCCAACTTACAGCCACCCCCAGCACGTACCAGGCCCTGCACCATCTCTGAGTGTCACCCCGCAGAGCGGGGGCTGCAGGGATTCGGTAGTGCTCCTTCCAGTTGACTCACTCAGGCCCGACCTCTTCCCGGGGAACACCAGGGACACTAGGAGCCACACCCAGTCCAGGCCCTGGCCAGCTGGCCAGAGGTCCCAGGCTTGCCCACAGCCTCCTCAGGCTGGGTACCTGGGTACCAGTTCTGGGGTACAGTGCACTGGTGGGGCCAGGGCGAGGCTGGGGCTGCCAGCCACATCTCTACAGAGTTCCCACTCTGCCCCACCCGCCTGGCTGGCTGCTCCAGGGACGCCCTGAGCATCAATGATTGATGTCTCCTTGCAGCAGCCAGCAGCATAAGCAAAAATAGCTCTTGCTACTGTCTCTGTCCTAACCCAGCCCAGCCAGAGGGGCGCACGGGCGGGTGGGGCATCTGGGCCTCCTCAGCTGCCCTCCTGCCCAGTGCTTTGCACGGGGGTGGGGTGGGAGCCTCGAGGGGGGTGGCCCTGGCCTCTAGCTGCCTCACTCTCCCCCAAGCCAAGTAGCGACTCTGGCCAGGGCCGGGTATCCTCCTTGACTCACCCCAAGGACTTGGGTCTGAGGACCCCAGAAGAGCAGGACACCTGGTGGTCCTAGTGCTTGCTGGGCTGAAGGGCCCCTCCCCATCGCTCATCAGGGATCCTGGGACACCCAGGACACTTAGGCTCCGGGGGAGGGGACGGCTCCCCCGGAGGCTGGGACAGGCAGGCTTGGTTCTGCCGCAGCACGAAGCTGCCCCCACCCTGTTCAGCGGGGCTGGGCGCAGGGGTGGCCGGGGTATCCCTCCTGAGAGGTGCCTGCGAGGGCCACACGGGCTCTTTCCTGACCGCACTGTACTCCACTTTAATGGGGACCGGACCCCTCTGGCCAGCCTCCCCCAGATAGCAAAGGCTTCTAACCTTGAACAGCTGCCTGCCCTGCACACTCACCTAGAGGCTGGCCCTTGGCTGGTGCCCCATGTCATGCCCCATCTGCCCAGACGCTGGCCTGAGGAGCCAGGAGCCATCTGTCAGCAGCTTGGGCTGCCCCCACCCCCTCTTGTGGCCAGGGCTGGGCAGCGGATGTGGGAGTCACCTCTGCGCCCCCTCTGAGTTCTTAGCTTCTCCACAGCAGCACCTCCTCAGTATGAGTGTCCTGTGGCCGCTGTGACAAATAACCATGCACGCAGCAGCTTAACCCAACACACATAATTCTCTCGCAGCTCCAGGTATGGCGGAGAGGCCGCCTTCCTCCTGGAGGCTTCGGGGGAGACGTATTTCCTTGTCTCCTGCAGCTTCTAGTGGCCACCTGCACTCCTGGCCCCCGGCCCCGCATCACTCTGACCTCTGCTGCTGCTTTTCCACCTTCTCTCCAGACCGGACCCTCCTGCCTCCGTCTCGTAAGGGCCCTTGTGATTACACTGGGCTCAACAGCATAACCCAGGGCCATCTCCCCATCCTAAGAGCCTTAATTATGTCTGTAAAGTTCCTTTCACCTTGCAAGGTCTCATGTTCACAGGTTCTGGGGGTCAGGCCATGGACTTCTCTGAGAGGCACTAATCAGCTGCCACACCAGGTAATGTGCTGTGCCTCCATCATTTCCTCCTGTATGTTGAGGGTCACAGTGCCATCCTCAGTCTTCACTGAGGTCCAGGCAGGGCATGGGGAACTGTAGAAGAGCTGGTTCTAGCTCCGGAGACACTTCTAACTCAGGACTTTGGGCCTGGGCCTCAGTTTCCCCACCTGTGCATGAGGACAATCCTCCTCCTGTGCCTTTCCAGCTCCCTGGACTGTGAGGAAGGCAAGGACAGTGGGTGAAGGGTCCAAGCACTGGACGAGCAGCAGGACCATCTGGGCTGATGCTGTCCCGGGTGAGGTGGAGGCGACAGCACGCAGGGCTGGGCGGTCTGTCTCAGTTGCTCCCGCACTGCAGTGCTGGCTGCCGCGCCCCTCGGGAAGTAGGGAGGGGGTGGGGGCAGGAGGCTGCAGTCAGGGTTCAGAAAATGATCTCATCGGGTCATTTTTAAAATTAATATTTTCAGTAGTTTGGCTGAGAAGGACCAGAGAGAGAGTGGGTGATTCATGCAAACAGGACAGGGCCCAAGGAGGTCACAGGGCGGGAGACGTGAGCGCGGAGGTCGACTGGGAGGTCGACTGTGGGGCGGAGTGTGGGTGGACGCCTCGCCAGGCCCGGAGGGGCGTGTCTGGGAGGCTGGAGTCAAGCTCACCCCTCAAGGTTGAGTTCATGAGACTGGGGTGGGGGCTGATGGGGCAAAGCCTGGAATTCCCGGGAAGGGAGGTGGCAGGTGGGCAAGGCTGGCCCATTAGTGCCCCTTGCCCTAGGGTAGTGGCAGCAGAGGGGCTGGTGACCGGGCCGAGAATCAGGGCACTACATGGGGCCCAAGAGGGAGGGAGCGGGACCCCTTCTCCGCCCAGAGACAGACCCTCACCGGCCGCACGTTAGGAAGGACCAGGTTTCGGGGATTCAGTGTACAAGACCCACAGCCGCCGTGCTCCCGGGGCCGGCGGAGCACATCGCACAGCTGCACAGTGCAGCGGCGACGGCGGGGCTGCGGCCCGAGGACTCGCAGGATTAAGCAGAAGCCTCGCTCCCCGAAGCTTCTGGGAGGCACA